GCCGGTGCTGTGTGCTCAGCATTTCTTCTCTGCTCTGGGTAGCAGGCCAGTGTTGACAAGTCATGGGGCCCTGGCGGCAACTTGACTGCTACCGGAGAGGCTGTGGCTTGTCGGGAGAAAGGCCTGGTGAATATTCTCCTAGCGGCAGTGCCCTCGAAATCTGTTGTGGTCACTATGGGCTGGGGTCACTGGGGAGGCCCCCTGCCAGCAGGCCTAGGTACCCTGTTGATGCGTTTTCTGAAGGGATGGGATACCGTCTGATGAGGTGAAGTGGGGGCAGCTCAGATGCTGAAGCGTAATTGATCAGACCAAGAGGCGCTCCGATGGCCTGTGGGTTGCCAACACTCTGAGGCAGGCAGAGGAAGCTCTGCCCTTCCATAAAGAGCCACAGTGCTGGAAAACCACAGAGGCAGTGCTGCCCTGTCCTGTGGGGTCACGTGAGTTGGCGTGGACTGGGTGTCAGGGAGTGGTGCTCAGTAAGCCCCTCCCATGAGGGGCCCGGGCACTTGTGAGAAACCCCATCTGGGGACCTTCTGCCCACTGACCTGTGAGCAGTTTCCGTGAAGAGAGCAGGGGGCACTGGTGTAGCCTCCCTCACCCTGTCTTATTGGGGAGGCCACTCTGGGGGCCACTCCCACTAGAGGACTGGCTTCGGCTCCGCGGTTCTCTCTGGATGGGCTTGTCTCCGGCTGCGGTCCTGAAACCGAAGGGTGACCGGTGGGGTGTGGTGGTGGCCTGGTGGCCAGACTGCAGCCAAGAGAAGGCCGTGGACAGCTCTGCTCTGCCTCCTGTCACTGCACGCGGTGCGTCAGGACTGAGCCAGTGGTACCCGCGGCAGCTGCTCAGCGAGTGGCAGCATGGAAGAGAGGTGTGGCTATCCTCTCCTGTACGGACGGACCGCAGGACCGCAGGGCTGCCGTGCTGCAGCTCCTCTCCCTCTGTCCTGGGCTGCCTCTCCTTCATCAGCACCCGGCTTGGAACCCAAACCCTGGCTTGCTGCTTTTGGGTCCCTTCCAGCTCCACCTGAGCCTACAGGACCGGGGAGAGCTGTCCATGTGCGTTTCTGAGACTGTGAATCTTTACCAAGGAAGGAGAAAGCCCCCTCCCTCCCCCAAGGAGCAGCTGGTGACCGCCAGCTGCTGACCTTGTGGTCCCCAGCCCAACCCGTAACCCACGGTGGTCCTGGGCTCCGGGACTTGCCCTGCAGCCCTTTCCTGGGACCACGAGCCGTCTCTCCTTCTTGTTCTCTTCTCAACGCCCCCCCTCCACGCCCCATTTCCCACGTGCATCCAGCCCCGTCCATGGCCCTCACAGATTGTTCCTCTTGCACCCCACACACTCCATCCACCTCCACAGCCAGCTCTCATGACCTCTTTGCTTGAACGTTCCTTGAGCACACAGGCACATACGTACATACATGCAGTAAGCCCTTTGACATGCAGATGTGTGCGGATGTGGCGAGGAGTCACTTCTCACACACAGTGACGCCCTGGTCATCCGCATGCAGCACTGCTGGTCCTGTGCCCCCCACGGGAGTGTGTTTCTGTGTGAGCCCTGGTGCAGCTTTGGTGTCTGCCCACTTTATGGGGGGCCTACTCTTTTTTTGCTGCCCGTCCACTTTACCCAGCCTGATGTCCTCCTCCAGGGCCTGGTCTGCCAAAGTACAGGAGACCAAGTCCTCACTTTCTAAGAAGCATCCCTGCTGTACTTCTTCTTCCAACACAGATACCTGCGCTCTGGC